TGACGACATTGTTGACAGTGATAGTGACACATCAGAACTTACTGTATGTAATCGTGAAAATAGTAATAGCAGCGAAAGTGAATATAAATTACCTGTAAAGAAACAAAAATATTAATATTGTATCACGCATTTTGTAACGTTTTTTCAGATAAATACACGAATGGAAAAAAAAAAAATTTTTTTTTCTTATTTCCTTTGCAATTATAAGGAACCCAAGCACTATAATCATTTACTTTGCCGCTTAAATAATCACAAATTACAAATAAAAACACAATAAAAACACAAGAAAATAATTAAGAGAAAGTCAGTGGGAGTATGATCTCACCCACTCCACCCATATAGTGCTAATGTACTCCTGCCACGGTCGATCAGCTCATGTCACTAACGAAAAGCCAAAAATATCACTACTTAGAACGTTCCAGCGCTCAGTAATGACTGATTTAAATTTTGAAATTTTTCATTTAATCTGTAAGTATTAAACTTCAACTCATGTAAATTTGAGCCCTTACCATTAAAAAATGACGCCACAGGAATGAAAAAAAAAAAAAATTTCTCGGCTTCAGAAGGTCGGTGAGTTGATTTTTTTTTGTAAATTTACACAAAAATACTAGCTATTNAAATTCCTGTTTGCAATTTATAGCAAAATTTTTTATGATAAAACTAAAATTATATTAGATTTAATATTTTCAATTTTTACATTTTATTTTATTCATTTTTATTTGTTTGTTTGTTTTTTAGGTTCAAATACTTCAACTGCAAATGACGGCGCAAAAACAATCACTAGACTGGATGTATTCAATGAAATCAAAGATGTATTAACAGATATTCAAAAAGTTTATGCAAAAGTTGAAAATCTTTATAAAGATAAATATGGTTCAAACCATTCACTATCCAATGATCATAAACAAGCAATCTCAAAATTGGTTTATCAGTTTAAAACAAGATGGACTGCTTGACACAGGAAACAAGATGCTTTTGAGAAAAACAATCACGATTTGCTCAAAACATCTGTTGAACTGAAAAAAGTAGAAGAAAAAAAAGGAGAAAAAAAAACTGAGAAAAAACCGGCTGCATTGGGTCGTCGAAAAGTTGATTTAACAGAGGGTTCTGACCGTACTAAACGTAGAATGACAGAAGCGTTACGAAAAGAAAAATCATCTGAAGAACTTGTTTATGCAGCAAAGATTAAGTTGCGGTCTGAAGGCAACACAGATTTTGCGAAAGTTATTGATAACATTTCGCATGGAAGCCCTACTAAAGCTGCAAAAGTAAGAAAATCTTTAGAGTTCGACGATCAAAATCTTCCTTTCGATGACGACGAAGCTCTTTCATTGTTTGTTGAACTAGATTTATCTCAAAGCAAGTATCAACAGCTACGAAATGCTCTTCTGGAAAAGAAATCAAAGATAATACCTTCTTATAAAAAGATACAAAGTGCAAGGAGAAAATGCTACCCACTGTCAGGTACTACTAATTACACAATAAACAAAGCAGAAGCAAAATTGCAACCTTTATTAAACCACACAACCGAACGAATTGTTAAGTTGCAATAGGAAGTTTTGAAAAATTTACCAGAAGAAATGCTGAAAAATTTAATTTTGTACTGTAAATGGGGCTGTGATGGCAGTTCAGGTCACAGTGAATACAAACAAAAACGTGACGAAAACAGTAGTAGTGACGAAAATATTTTTTTTACGTCTTTCGTGCCACTACAGCTCATATATACAGATCCGGTGACACAGAAGAAAACTATTGTCTGGAAAAATCCAAGACCCTCGTCCACTAGATTTTGTCGACCTATTGTAATCGAGTGCGCAAAAGAATCTGTGGATTTAACGAAAAAAACAACGGATGAAATTGAAAAACAAATAAAAATTTGGTTCCTTTTAAAACGGCGATTAATGCAGAACATGTATCCATTGCATATGATTTCCAATTAACAATGATTGATACTAAAGTGTGCAATTCATTAACCGATACAAAATCTGTACAGTGTTGTTATGTATGCAAATGTAAAATTTCGGAGTTCAATAAAATAGATGAAATGTTGAAGAAACAAATTTCTACAGAGCACTTAAAGTTTGGCCTATCAACTTTACATTGCTGGATCCGCTGCTTCGAGTATTTACTGCATGTATCTTACAGATTGGACACAAAAAAATGGCGGGCTAGTAGTCAGGACGAAAAAAAATCGGTTGCGTCTAGAAAAAAGACTATTCAAGAAACTTTCAAAGAAGAATTGGGTTTGAATGTTGACAAACCAAAATCTGGTAGTGGAACTTCAAACGATGGAAACACGGCTAGAGTTTTTTTTGAAAATAATGACAAATCTGCTCAAATACTTGGAATTGATGAACATATTATACATCGATTTTATATAGTATTGCAAACTATCGCAAGTGGCCATTACATCGATGTAGATAAATTTAGAAAGTATTGCCTGGATTTAGCTAAAGCAGTTGTCGAAAAACACGAATGGTATTATTTACCTACTTTAGCTCACAAACTTTTGATACATGGCCCTGAAATCATCGAACAGTCACTGTTACCTATTGGGCAAATGTCTGAAGATGCCCAAGAGGCTTGTAATAAATATTTCAAAATATATCGGTTGCGTTTCGCAAGAAAAAATCACCGACAAAAAACGATGGAGGACGTTTTTAAAAGATTTCTAATTGCTTCTGATCCATACATTTCCAGTCTCCGAAAATTACCCGTCAAACCTCTCAAACATTTATCGCAAGAAACAATAAATTCGTTAAAATCTCCATCAGACAATGCTGGGATTGTTGGTGAATTGTATTCTGACAGTTCTGCAGACACCGATGCAAGTTCTGATGCGGAAGAAGGCGAATCTTATGACATTGGCAATGGAACCTTTTTTTTGTAATATTTAATGTTTTTTCAGCGCACCCCATGCTCAAATATGTTTTATTTGTAATTCAAAAAGTTTAATTTTGATAAAAAATTCGATTTATTTTTTAAATCTCAGTTTTATACTCAACAACAATTTATCAAACACAACTCCGATTATGCATGGTGACTATTGATAAAAAAAATTTTTCTTTCATTTCAGGCTTCTATTGTGAATTTTGTCAAAGTATTGTATTTTATTGTAATTTTCTGTAAATTGACAATAAAGTATGCAAAATGATATTAAAAAATTGCTTTTGATTATTCGTTATTATTTTCCATTTTAATCGAATTTTTCGTATAGCATAGCGCCATATTGGATCCGCCATTTTGAATTTGATAATTCTGATAGCAGATTCGTAATCAGCGACCCCAAAAACCCCCCTCTACCAATTTTGAGAGCATTTCGTTCATTATTCGAGTTTTTTTGGTATGGCCAACNTCTTTTGGCAAATGGGAACGTATTATTATTAGTGTTTCTACATACGTATAGAACGTGTAGACCAGGTGTATCTTGTGTCGCGATCGTTGTTTTGTCGTCTAGTGGTACCACTTGTGTAAACATGGCTTTATTATATATATTACACCCCCCAGGAGCTGGGGAAAGAGTACAGCAAACGGAATAATAAGCAGGACAAAGCTTCCTCTGCGTGTATGTATATATACAACAGCGATGTACGAATATCCTTTGGATGGGCGAGCACTATATATATACACCGGAGTGATAGAGGTGGCACTGGGCCAAATAACGCCGAGCAGTCTCCTTTCGCCGTACGTACCACCCCTGTAAGCGGCTGGGCATTGGTCAGCGAGATTTCAGGGGAAGCGGTGACGCTAGGACTCTCCGTCGTTAATACTGCCTGACTGCCACCGTGATGGCGCATATATATACGCTACACATCTTTCAACCAAGGTCCGATGCTCCCGGCTGCTTGTACCGTGCTGTGGTTGCTCGTTTTATAATTCCGGAAGCATATAGGTACTGTGTACACGTGCGCTCACCTATCCCTCTTTTGGTTGGCGCTTAATAGTTTTACGGGCACAGCATAAAATGTATCATTCATTGGTTATTTTTTTTTTTTTAAGATATTGCGTTTGTACGATTAAGACAGACAATTTTTTTCGATAATACCTTGTTTTTGTTAAATGGAGGCTGATCGGACAAGGCTACTATCAAATCGGAAACAAAAAACATGCACACAGGACCGCGACCTATGCTTATTTTACATAGAATCGTTCAATGGCGAACGAATTCCTCTGAACGCGTTTATATTCCGCAACGTGAAAAACCACTCGTTTTGCCAGGATCATCGCTGCCCCACTGCATTATTCAGAGGCTCAAGTGTACATGAAGTTGCTGGTTTTTTTTCCTCCCCCCTCACACACAACCGGTCGATGCTGCGGATGCGATTAGCTTGGAATCCGACGGAAGGGCTCAACTCGGACTGGTGCACGTGTACTTGCGCGTGACCTGCGTGCGGGACGACGTTTTGAAGGGGAGCACTGGTTTACGCGGGTCTACAGCCGGGGATTGAATTTCAGCGAGAAATTATTCCTCGAAATTCCGCGTTTCGCGAGGCTGGTAATTTAATTTTTGAAGATATTTAATTTTTTTTTTATGGAAAAAAATATCGATTTTTCGACCGATTTTTTGCACATTACCAGTTTGGTGACTGTTGCGTTGGGTTATAGGGTTAAACAGCATGGGATTAATTTATTATGTTATTGTGTATGAAACTTTGCGGTCGAGATGAGTCTGTTCTGCTTCGATACTGCAGTTTGAGGTTATGCTACTGGCTTTAATGTTGTTTTTGTCTTAATAATTCAGATGTCAGTGTAAATTTTTGCTTTAACATTGTATATAACAGACAACTAGGATATTCAGAATTGTTGAAATTATTGTTGCTTTCACGTTTGCTGTCGTAATAAATCTGTAAACTTCCTATTAATAATGTATTGGATCCTCTAATGTCCTGAAATTACGGCATTACGCACTGTTTCACGTTTCACCATCAGATGGCGTCAATACACTTGCACACACTCACACAGTCACAGTGACTGAAAAAAAGGTGTAGTGCGGGAACTTTCTTTGACGCAATCTGCAACCCGTAGCCTTTTTCTGCAGACGTGTGATGGCGGCCTAACCTATTATATTAGAAAAGCGGAAAAAGAAAGAGTGCTTGTACTTGTAAACATGAGCATTGAGTCGCACATCAAACTTAAGTCTACGGGATTCAGGTGACAATAAATAATTAGGATTTTTTTACCTGTGATAACAATGACGAACGAAGAAGAGTTACTAATTTGTTACAACCGTGGCTGTGGAGAAAAATTTGATCCTAATAACAATAAAGAAGGTACTTTTTTATCTTCATCTACGTCCGTGTGAGCAGGGTGCATGTTTGCTTTGCTTAAGTATCAGGCTGCTTAGAAATCGCAAACATTCAAGTTAAATGTAACGCTCTCAGCTTTAAAACGTATTAATTACAAATTTTTCACAGATGCCTGCCAACATCATCCAGGTAATCCAGTCTTCCACGATGCTTACAAAGGATGGTCTTGTTGTAGCAAAAAGTGCACAGATTTTACTGAATTTTTAAGTATTAAGGGTTGTACTAGGTCACATCACTCAAACGTCAAGCCACCAGAACCACAAAAACCAATTGTTGACAAGTCAGAAGCTGAGAAAGTCATAGAGGTATGTGTCAAGCCTCTGAATACTGAATCACAAGTAGAACGACCACCTTTTAATTCTCCACAAGTTACATTAAAACCTATAATCTCACCAAATCTCTTGGAACAAATAAAAAACTTGAAAGTCTTGAATAATACAAATCAGGATAAGAGTGACATAGCTATTGGACAAAGTTGTAAAAATAATTCGTGCAAAGAAACTTTTAAAGGTCAATTAAACAATGATGAAATTTGCACCCACCACCCTGGAGTTCCAATCTTTCATGAAGGCATGAAATACTGGTCTTGCTGTAAAAAGAAAACAACAGATTTCAGCATTTTTCTCGAACAGCCTGGGTGTACCCAAGGAAAACATTTATGGTTTCAAAAAGTTAGTAAAACTAATTGTGCTTGCTCAACCTTTGTATTATTTATAATTATTTAGTGACGTTAATGTGTTTCTTGCAGGATTCACTTAGGAAAGTTGAGTGTAGAATGGACTGGCATCAAACAGCAACTTGTGTGTTTGTGTCAATTTTTGCCAAAAAATATGATCCAAACTTATCATGTGTAAAATTGAATCCCATTCATCTCACAATAAATTTATATTTTCCTGAGGAGGATTCTAGATACAATTTAGACATAGAATTAAAAGGGGTATGTATGCAGCTGAATTTTTGTCGTTTATTTTAATATAATTTTCGTAGCCAACTGAGTTTTTATGTCGACTTTCATGAAACTTTCAAAATTATTAGTGAAAAATCTCTAATATTCAAATGTGTTTACTCTACTGAAACATATAAATTTAAATTGGTAACAAAAATTTAGTAGGTTCTGAAAATGAATCGTCATGTCACATAATAGAATTAAAATAGATTCAATTTTGTAAAACACTGTTTGTGCATTTAGTCCACCCAAGGTGCATGAGGTTGGAGGGTAGGGCTAGCGCCTCTAGCCACTTTAACATTGAATTTTTGTAGGACTAAATTTGCCAATAATGGCCACTTTAACTATTTTCTTCCGTAAGATTGAACATGAGCTTTAGGGGGCAAAATGAGGACAGCACTGGTTGTGCACCTTACCTTATTTGAAGTATGAATGAATCGCTTTCATACGATATTAAATTTAATGAGATATTTAAGGGGGCTCCTACGACTACTGCTGAGGTCAAAGACAAACAAAAAATAATGTTTTGTTTTTCAATAAACAAATGTGTCTGAAAATCATTATGATATTTTTAATAACGTATGAAGTGGGAAAAATGATATTTATGTGTGTAGTTTAACTTTGTACGAAAAATTAATTATTGTTTTGACCAATCTAGTGCATACGAGGGTACCCCACCAGACCAGACCACCTGTGTTGGTGTAGTATAGCGATGTAATATATAGGTATATGGTATATAT